TTGAACAATAAAAAACATAATTAAAGCAAGGGGAAATGAGTTAATGCAGAGTTGTTTCAGATTTCTCGAAATAATAGCTAATGATTTAAAGAACTTAGTCAGCTGAAACGGACATCATTAGAAAATGAAAAAGTCATGGTCGGACGTCGCTCCTTGGTGCCGTGCCTTCGCAAGTATGATTGTTTATTGTTATTGTCGTTGTTATTGTTATAATCATTATCATTACCATCACTATTATTATTAGCATTCTTACTGTTATTACAACTATTAATATTTGTATTACTGTTATTCAATTTTGATGATTATTGGCATTATTACAAACATTATTATTTGGTGTTACTATTATTACTTTCTTATCATAAATTTTTCTCTTCGCTGTTGTAACATTATCATTGTTATATTACAGTCATTATTATTACAGTTACGATAGCCACAATGACACTCATAAGAAACAATAATTGGTGTCAATATCATTATAATTATCATTACTTTTAGTTTCGTTAATTGGTCACTGCCATTCTTATCATCTTTACCATCATTGGTATTATCTTCATTTACATTGACATTGTTCTTTTCACTGCCATTATTGTCAAAGGGTTCTCGCAATTCTCCTCTTCTCTCCGAACTTTTTGCGACCACGTCCAAAATATTGAGCTTTCAGTTGTGTTTTCCAGTCAAATACGTCTGGCAGTGTTATTCCCTGGAACGGCGAAAGTTGCAAGATTTGTGTTCAAGATTCGGACACCTTGTGTTGCTTGAATTTTTGCATCTTATCTATCACATCCGAAGCTCACCTAGCGGGATAGTTCCAATGATCACTGGGATTTACTTTAATACATCTACACACAAATCAAGATATAAATCCTTTTCTTTGATATTCTAAAGTTTGTAAGGTTACATTATAGGAGTACAGAGGGATTTTGAAGGTGATTTTGAGGTTATATCACATCATATGACATAGACATGGAAATTCTTACCAATTTCATTTTAGCGCCATTATTCAATGTACTGTTAAACTGGTATAAAACATTTTATGCGTATTTATATATGAACTTTATATGAAGAAACATACCAAACGATCTGTAATTAAAACATAAATCCCAGAGATGTTTGTGAAATATAGTGAAAAGGATCACGCTCTGATTGGCCGGCCGGAGTGTATCACTTTGTTTCATGTTACAAGGCGTACAAAACGAAATGTGCAACATGTTTAAACTGTCGGTTATGGCGATTGCTGAAACGGCATGGTAAGAATTTCCGACGTGTCCATATCATATGATGTGGTAGGACACTGACATCGGTGGGGTGAATTTCTTCAGAATAATTCTGTACCTCTATACGATCTTACAGATTTAAAAGTATCAAAGGAAAGGTTATGTGTCTAGTTTTGTTGATATATGACATGCACAACGATAAGAATATGCCTATGATTATTGGTATTATCCAGTTGTGTGAGATTCGGGCTCTATTGCCGTCATTTTCGCGATTCCACAGGGTGTCGTATTATTACAGAAAGACGAGGGAGGGCGGAGCCATTTAAATCCCTGCTGTTTAGGGAATTGCTTCCGAAGATAGACTATTATAATAAATGATTTTGCTGTTACACATATGTTTGAATTATTTCTGTTAGAATTGTTTCTAATGTTTTCTTCAAAAAGCAATTACAGTGACATAAGATGCACAAAGGGACTAAAGCGGATGATGAAAGTATATTAATACATTACTGGATATAGTGAGTATACGTTTAAGAATAGATATTTTGGTTTTGATAAAACCTTTATACATACATACACACACACACACACACACACACACACACACACACACACACACACACACACACACACACACACACACATATATATATATATATATATATATATATATATATATATATATATGTATATATGTATGTATATAGTGGTCATTTAAATCTGCAAGGCGTGTTACAATCGCGTAAGCCTAGAAGAATTCTTTGTAATACTATCGGTATGACTTTTGCATACTGTATTCGCGATGATTTTATGAGAATGATCAAAAGAATAATGAAAAAAAATAACTAGAGCTAAGTCTATTGCTTTCGGTATATCAATGTGTTGGAAAGCTTTTGTAATATTATTAGATGTTCTTGAGCTTGCTGGTCAGATTTACAAACATTTACGTCTCAATGCACTTTACTTTTGCTCTAACTTAATAAATGCGGGAAAGGATATACGTAAATGTTGTAAAGGTTACTGTAAAATATTCCCCTGGATGGAAAGAATTTTAAATATCAAGTGGGAAGTCCATGCCACCGTCCGAACGAATAAGTAGTGATCGACGTTGCCGAAAATATCCTTTTCGTTTTTATCTGATTTTATTCACGAATGATTGTTGCTGCAATTGCTTTATGTTATCAGACTGTTATATTCAATATTTAATAAATTTTCATAGCATCATATTCTGAAAATGTAATTCAGCTGTAAAAAAATCCGTTAAAAAAGTCACCATCAAGTGCTGT